TGACCCGGGGGGGGGACTGGGGTGTGGGGGAGTACCGTCCCTCTTCCAGGCATGAAGTCTGAGGCTTGAGAAGCCTAGTGATTTCCAGCGCCGGAAACTGTCTTTCAAAACCGGTTCTTGCCCACGCCCTTCAGGGGCCCAGAAGTTCTCTGGGTTATCAGGTAAAAGAAGGACTGGACCTCGGTAGTTTGACACCACCTGAGACACTGGATGGTTCTGTTTTTGCTGGGCCATGGTGACAGAAGGCAGCCAAGGTGACACAGGGTGTGCCCACAGCAATCTGACTTCCCACTGGTGACGACCAGGCCGTGGTTAAGAAGCATCACCCAGAAGGCCAAGACAACAGTGAACTGGGAATCTGAGACAGAGAATGACCGTCAAGCCCGTGGTCCCTCGGGGGAAGCAGGAGTGACCAGGGGAGGTCCTCAGCCTGGTTTGCAATTAGAGTGTGGCCAGCGCTATGGAGACAGGCCACATGTGAAAGGGTTTGCTGGGCACATGCTCCATGGGGACCATAATGCCGGGCACGCCCCCTGCTCTGCGTACTCGGCGATTTGTATACAGCTGGGAGGCTGGAGGTTGAACTGTCCAGACATTCAAATCATTAAGGTTTTTTTTTTTTTGGGAAACACTTCTGTGATGGAAACTTCCAGTTCCACCAAAGAAAGTAATAAAACAGACTTCCCCCCTTAAAAATCTCAAATTATGACATTCAGATAGTCTGTGGCTATGAAAACGCAAACAAATGCACGACCCACCCCACACAGTGGTAGAGGGCCCCACGAGACAATGACCTTCAATAAGGTCAAAATTAATAAGGTCAAAATTCAATTACATGATAAAATCACACCAGATGTAACAAAGAATCAGACTGGCATCATTGGTCCTCAGCACAGCAGAGCTCTGTGAAAACCTCAGCGGAATTCGAAAAGCTGTCTGATCAGGAAAGCCCCAGTTCTGAAGCGTCTACTGTATATTTGGCACCAGATGTGAAAACTGAATGTGCAAAATTCTAATGATCCAAAAACCCGTAGCCCACCAGGAAGACACCACCTGTTTCCTTCTCACACAGCAAGTCACCAAGGCCTCAGACCAGCCCTGACATGAGTTGGGGCCACAGCCCTGGATCACATCGGGGGAGAAGCCAATTTGGCCTGAGGTGTGCGTGGAGAGTGCAGCAGCAGTTTCTGGTGTCTTCTGGAACCCGAATTGAATGTCCGTGTCTTAATTAGTTCAACGGCTTCATTCGATTTAGCTGTGTGTGTGCTGGTGCAGCTACAGCTTTGATTTCAGGCTTCCCACGACGGGTTTGCTGGCAGAAAACTCTGGCCACCACGACGCCCTCTGTAGCACGTTGCCCTCCTGGAGGATGGCGCCCCAGAGGTTCTTATAGAGCTGTGAAAAGACGGGGTGCGGTGAGAAGGAAGACTCCCCATGGCCGAGTGTGCAGATCAACGCCCTCAGACACTTTTGTGAAAAACACATGAAATTCTTGACAGTCACTTTGTAGAAAAACTCAAAGATGGTTCAAGTGTAATGTGTAGGACCCTTTCGTTTCCTCTCGGTGGAAAACCACTGGAAAAATTCAATGATAAAACACACTTGGGCTGGGAATCCCTCGCCCTTTTCCCGGGAAACCACCGTGGAAGGCAGGCCCTGCTTCTCAGAAGTGCAGCCGCCGCAGGGCTCTGCACGGCCACACAGCCTGTCCTGAATCTACTCTCCCACCCCGTGTGGGGACCGGCTGGCATGGGCGGGGGGCAGCTGCCCGGCAGCAAGACAGCCACCACACCCAGCACCCTCTGCTCTGCCCTGCCCCAGGCAGCAGCTGACAGCACTCCCCTCCGGGACGTCCAGACTTAACTGCTGCCCACCCTGGGTCTCGCTGAGAAGACGGAGAGCAGGTCCTATCTCGGAGGAGAGTCGCGAGGATGAAACACAGCCAGGCGTGGCCGTCTTACCCGCTCGAGACAAGAGCGGCAGTTGGGACAACCGCCGCCCACAGAGACGCAGGAGAGGTCCATTCTGCCCTGGAGAAGCAGCTCTGCCTGCACCTGCTAAAGGCACTTACCCACTTCGCCTCCGCTCTGCTATTCTTGGCTCCAGAGACAGACTGGCTGCTCTGCCACGGGCCATAAACAGTTTGGAGGCTGCGCTCCATTTAATGATGGTCTCAAATCATCTCCTACAGCTGTGTTTGTTCGTTTAAAGTGAATTTCTTACCTGACAGCACCTGGTTAAAACATTCAGCTCCTGGCAGAAACGCGCACTTTATAAACTGGCCTGCCAGCGATGCCTCCAGCGGGCTGCGGTTTTAACTATGCAGCCCAGGGCTGGGGGCCTTCTCTGTCACGGGGACAGACTCTCCTTTCTTCCCAGTCACTCCCCTGCCTCAGAGCCTGGTCTGCCTCTGCAGGGCGAGGCACAGTGCTCAGAAGCTCAAGCCACTCATGCCTTCTGCATGGGGCAGAGTCCTCTGTGGGAGGCCCAGCTCCTCCTTGGAGCCCCCACTACGGGGGGAGCTCCCCATACACCCTCCCAGTAGCTGGGCACAACTATCTACCCAGACCCTGGCTTCCCCAGATCTTGGTTCCCATAGCAAGCAAGACAGATGTGCTCATACAGTCGGTGTGGGTCGAGACTGTCGAGCGGCCAGCGCCCCACTGCGGGCTGCAGACCCTCTGCAGATTACCTCTGCCTGCTGGGAACGCTCACCTCCCGTCCTGCCCACGCTGCCCTGACCCCCTAGCTGCTCCACAGCACGCCTGCCCCATTCTGGGTGTGGTCGGAGACAGGCTGAGGCCTGGCACCCGCCCTTCCCTGGATAAGTCCGTGAGGGCTCCGTGTCCCCTGCGGACACCTGGAGGCTGCCCCACCTGTGCTGAGTCTCCATTTCAGCAGAGCCCCAGATGCCCCCAGGCGGCAACAGACTAGAGAACACAGGCTGGGCTGGGGGCTGGGCTGGGGGCCAGGCAGGTGAGATCCTGATCCTTGGGGCACAACCCTGGGGCCTCAGGCCGTGACTAGAACACTTTGAAATGCTGAGTCCCAGCAGCAGAGAACAAACAACAGCTTCAAGGGTGGCCAGGCGCTGGGGGTGCTGAGCAGACCTGTGGCAGCGCCCTGGCCGGTGGGGGAGAGTCACGCTCAAGGAGACGCGGGCTGGGTGACGAGCCAGTGCCGTGGGGTCAACACAGCAGGACGGAAGGGTGCTGGGGGACACCTCGGCTGGGCCACAGAGGGCCTCCTCAGGGAGGCGGCACCTGGCTTAGAATGACCCGAAGGTGAGGCAGGTGGCAGCCGCAGGCAGGCACAGAGGCCCTGGGATGGGAGCAGCCCGGCACGCTGGAAGAGCAGGAAGGACGAGGAGGCTGGGCTGGCGGCAGGAGGGGAGCGCGGGGTGGACAGCCCTGGCGACCAGGCGGGGCCAGAGCAGGGAGGGGTGTGGGGCGACGGGGTGTCAGTGAGAGCTCAGTCAGGGAGCGGCCGACGCCGCCTGCTTCGTGAGGAATCATCCTGGGAGGTGGAGGGCGAGTCGAGATGGGGAGCCATGCCGAAGCTGCCAGAGTGTGAGGGCGGGGTGGGGAGAGACGGTCCTGACGACAGCCACGCAGGGCCAGACGGGGTGCACGGTGGCGGACTTGCGGTCAGGGGAAGGGACACAGACTTTTGAGATGGGGGTGAGACCCGGGACGGGGGAGGCCACAGGGGAGGGAGGAGAGAGGAGGCTGCAGTGCCGGGCCTCACACCCCAGGCCTGCATGGGCGGACGAGGAGGCGGGAGACGGGCAAGTCGCCCGAGACCACAAAGCTGGTGTGGCGAGGCACACAGTGAGATCACCGACTTCTGCCCCCCCAGAGGCTCCCCCCACATGCAACCCCCTCCCAGAAGCCCGCCTCCGAGACCCCTGACCACAGGAGCATCTCAGGCTGTCTGTGACTCCACCCGGGAATCGAGGGGGTGTCCCTTCACCTCGCCGTCAGCTCTGCCAATCGGGGAGTCCAGGACAAAGTCAGGAGGAGCGATCACGTCTACCAGGGCAACTGCATCGTCTTTCAGCTGTTGGAAAACAAAGTCCATACACTTGGCAACTCCGGGAAATCTCCATGGTGACCACTGAGTAACAGAGCCACGGGTTGCTATAACCCTCTGGCAACGGGTAACCCAAGCGGCACACGCACCCCCATCGCTAGCGCATCATCTTTTTATTGGCCTGGGCGGCAGAGCCCGTTGGCGTGCACTGGAATATCTCAGCCATGCGGCTGCTGGCTTGGGACCTGGGGGCTTGCTTGCCTCCCAGCAAAGGTAAGGAACGCTCGTAAAATCGGTGGCTCCGGGCTCATGAATTAGCACTGTCTCCTTGGGTCTGCTTCTCACCCGACTCATCTGGGCAGCTGCAGAGAAGGCATTTATGAGCACCTGGAAGAGTCATGCGAACCTCAGGGCCCCTTGGCGGGCAGTGGTTTTATGACTCTCCTGTTCCGTTACACAAATGATTCTTCAGTATGACATGTGGAATTTATATGAGGAGACTCCTAAGAACTCTCTTGAAATGCGGAAGACTTTTTCTTGAAGTAACTATTATGAGTGCCATGGCTACACTGCACAAAGCCCTGGAACGGCAGCAACTCCAGTGACGGGGATGGAAAGCCACGGCCAGACCAGAGTGACAAACACGGCGGCAAGCAGGAACCCAAGCCTCCAGCTTGGGTGCTGCACGCTCAGCAGGCGCCCCCGCTCCCGGCCCGCAGATGAATCCCGGGTGGCTATCACCTCTGAGGACATGCTGGGCGAGTGGAGTCGCTCACCTGGGAACACAGGGCCAGGACAGCGCTCTCCAGGAGGCGCCCTGCCTGCTCGCCGCAGAAGTAGCCACCTGCAAGAGCAGCCTCAGTTACCGGGGGGCTGGGGGTCAGGCCCCCGACAGCAGCAGACCCCGCGGGGTCCCGCGGGG